CCTAACCAATTTAAACAATTTAGAAACTGAAAAAAAGGGTGACTCTGAAATGGCCAAGATTGGTAGCCAGGCTAAGAGCAGAACTGAATTGCACAAGAGAGCGTCTGGAGAAACAGAAGGCAAAGGTGAAACGGAAAGAAATAAAATGTGCTAAAAGGAGAAAGAGGAATGAATTCTTCTGGAAGGAAGATGCATGCATCCGACATGGTATTGATCTTACCCTTGGTATCCTAGATGCAGAAGATGAGGGTGACTTTGATAGAGCTGATCATCTTAGGCAGTCTAGGAGGTTGGGTTCATTAAAACAATTCCAAGTTCTTATATTTATGCGTTTCATATATTAAATTTCTTTTTTGGATCAGCCAGTGAGACATATCTTTCTCTTTTTTACTTGCTAGTGAGTTGGTGGCCAAGCACATGGAAGAAACACAAGATTTCTTGAAGGTGCACTCAGCTGAAACTTGAGCCAAACAGTCAGCCCTGAATATGTTGTTTCCCTACCAAGTTTGTGTGTTATGTAATATATGGCAATGCTTGATTTGTATGTTCTAATACTCTGTTTCAAGTCAGTTTATGTGGATCGTTGTTGTCTTATATTTGCCACTTCCTCTACAAATAAAGATGACTGTTTGCTTTTTGTTGTCTGCCCCTCGTACTGTTTTTGCCAAACAAGCAACTGACTTATTTAGAATATCCTCTCCCTTGATAAAGTGAAGCTAGATTGATTCTAAGATGGATGCTGAAAGCATAATTGCTCTATTATTTCTTAAACCATTTGCTGCAAAGTATTGAATTCACCTCTCTTAATTCTCGGATATAAGATTAAGTCAAACATTTACAAGGTTGGATTGGGCAAATGATATCCTCTAGGTGTTCTGAAATGAATTCAGGTATCTTCTGATGCTGTACCTCAGGTCAACATATAATGTGGTCCTTTTCTTCTTATTACAATGAATATCAAATACCATCCTACTTTGTTGCTAGTAACATGTCTCTTTTTTACTCCCTTGAAGAACCACTCAATTCACTTGAGTAGTTCTTCCAATGATGTATTGTTATTCTTAAATCCCCCAGAAGTGTCTGCTATTGCTATACAGGGTTTACATACCATCCATAGGATTCATTCTCTGTTCTGATTGCTTGCCATTGAATATTGCGTTGGTTCCAATGAATTCATTATCATCAACATAATTTTTTTGGTGGAAGAGTGTGAAAAACTTTGAGATTGTGATGCATGCTGTCTAATGGGGAAGGTAACTCAGGCATTCAGAAATGTGAACTTCATAGAGTAGCTACAGACTAATTTTTTGGATTGACAATGATAATACTTTATTTAAGATGGTACAACTCTAACATGCATTGCAAATACAAAGATTATCAATCTGAAAATATGTAAGGGATCAGTCCTACTCTGTACAACCTCTGCACATATTGCAGAACCCACATCCCCACACAAGCATTTGATCAAACACCTGATATGCATGGCGAAAATAAGCTCCTGTCTTCCATTCTTTATTGCCACCAATCCCCAACATCAAAGAAACATGGCCAGCGCTCAGATGAATAAAGACTATTGGGACACACAACAGATTATTCACTGCACGAAGCCAGTTTAAGCAACTCAACAATGGTAGTTTCAGTATAGCAATACAATATTAAGTTATCTGCATCCAGTTCCTCATAGCATAAACTCCTCCCTTCAGTTGGTTAAGCATTGATTCCATCTCTTCCATCATCGGTTTCGTCTCTGCCGGATTGTTCTTCATGAGACTTGTCTCTTCTTTTTCTTCCTTTACCTTGGCTTCCATCTTCTTGAGAGCGGTGTTTGCAAATAGTCAATCGATAGGCTAACCTCATCAAGATTGTCGGGTCGCGCGCCTCTATTTCTCTCGCCAGATACAAGTCTTCGCACGATTTTAAAGTAAAACGCCCGATGTTGACTACCTTTGTCGATCGAACGAAGGTCAATCGTTCTGCATCGCTCTTCTCCACTTGGTCTTCCCCTCCATAAATACAACTCATTTGCCATCGGAGGCTCATGGATCATGATTTCGGAAAACAGGGTTTCTTATCAGATGTGGATCTGGGAAAGGCGGCCCCCTCAAATCCAAACTTCCATTCCCCTCGTAAGCGTCTTTCATTGAGGTTTATTTATTTATTTATTTATTTAGCAAAGAGAATGTTCAATATTTAAAATGACTGTCAAGAGCCTCCTTACTTTTCGTTCTCCCCCTCATGGTTACACATTTTTGTTTGCTTCTTTTTTCCATTTTTAGCAATCGAAAACTACCATATAACAGAAAGCATTACATCCCCCCCTAAACTTTTAATAAACATTTAATATGGTACTCTAACTTTTATTTGTTAAAAATTATATTTTTATAGTGTGAATTTCAATTACCATTTCAAACATAGGGAAAATATTTAGAATTTAAATAAATTTAAAAAGTAAGGATATGATTCAAAATTAAATGAACTTTATATTAATTTAATTAATTTATAATTGAGGTTTTTAAACATTTTCTCATCTATTAAGTCTAAATTAAAAAAAAATTAATTCCCTATTTAAATAACTTTAAATTTATAGTTTTCTTTAGCATTTTTTTATCTTTCTTAATATTCTATATAAAAGTTAAAGTTTTTGTTTATTTGG